ACAAAGTCAGATATTGAGTCATTAATGTGTTTAACAAAGTCAGATATTGAGTCATTAATGTGTTTAACAAAGTCAGATATTGAGTCATTAATGTGTTTAACAAAGTCAGATATTGAGTCATTAATGTGTTTAACAAAGTCAGATATTGAGTCATTAATGTGTTTAACAAAGTCAGATATTGAGTCATTAATGTGTTTAACAAAGTCAGATATTGAGTCATTAATGTGTTTAACAAAGTCAGATATTGAGTCATTAATGTGTTTAACAAAGTCAGATATTGAGTCATTAATGTGTTTAACAAAGTCAGATATTGAGTCATTAATGTGTTTAACAAAGTCAGATATTGAGTCATTAATGTGTTTAACAAAGTCAGATATTGAGTCATTAATGTGTTTAACAAAGTCAGATATTGAGTCATTAATGTGTTTAACAAAGTCAGATATTGAGTCATTAATGTGTTTAACAAAGTCAGATATTGAGTCATTAATGTGTTTAACAAAGTCAGATATTGAGTCATTAATGTGTTTAACAAAGTCAGATATTGAGTCATTAATGTGTTTAACAAAGTCAGATATTGAGTCATTAATGTGTTTAACAAAGTCAGATATTGAGTCATTAATGTGTTTAACAAAGTCAGATATTGAGTCATTAATGTGTTTAACAAAGTCAGATATTGAGTCATTAATGTGTTTAACAAAGTCAGATATTGAGTCATTAATGTGTTTAACAAAGTCAGATATTGAGTCATTAATGTGTTTAACAAAGTCAGATATTGAGTCATTAATGTGTTTAACAAAGTCAGATATTGAGTCATTAATGTGTTTAACAAAGTCAGATATTGAGTCATTAATGTGTTTAACAAAGTCAGATATTGAGTCATTAATGTGTTTAACAAAGTCAGATATTGAGTCATTAATGTGTTTAACAAAGTCAGATATTGAGTCATTAATGTGTTTAACAAAGTCAGATATTGAGTCATTAATGTGTTTAACAAAGTCAGATATTGAGTCATTAATGTGTTTAACAAAGTCAGATATTGAGTCATTAATGTGTTTAACAAAGTCAGATATTGAGTCATTAATGTGTTTAACAAAGTCAGATATTGAGTCATTAATGTGTTTAACAAAGTCAGATATTGAGTCATTAATGTGTTTAACAAAGTCAGATATTGAGTCATTAATGTGTTTAACAAAGTCAGATATTGAGTCATTAATGTGTTTAACAAAGTCAGATATTGAGTCATTAATGTGTTTAACAAAGTCAGATATTGAGTCATTAATGTGTTTAACAAAGTCAGATATTGAGTCATTAATGTGTTTAACAAAGTCAGATATTGAGTCATTAATGTGTTTAACAAAGTCAGATATTGAGTCATTAATGTGTTTAACAAAGTCAGATATTGAGTCATTAATGTGTTTAACAAAGTCAGATATTGAGTCATTAATGTGTTTAACAAAGTCAGATATTGAGTCATTAATGTGTTTAACAAAGTCAGATATTGAGTCATTAATGTGTTTAACAAAGTCAGATATTGAGTCATTAATGTGTTTAACAAAGTCAGATATTGAGTCATTAATGTGTTTAACAAAGTCAGATATTGAGTCATTAATGTGTTTAACAAAGTCAGATATTGAGTCATTAATGTGTTTAACAAAGTCAGATATTGAGTCATTAATGTGTTTAACAAAGTCAGATATTGAGTCATTAATGTGTTTAACAAAGTCAGATATTGAGTCATTAATGTGTTTAACAAAGTCAGATATTGAGTCATTAATGTGTTTAACAAAGTCAGATATTGAGTCATTAATGTGTTTAACAAAGTCAGATATTGAGTCATTAATGTGTTTAACAAAGTCAGATATTGAGTCATTAATGTGTTTAACAAAGTCAGATATTGAGTCATTAATGTGTTTAACAAAGTCAGATATTGAGTCATTAATGTGTTTAACAAAGTCAGATATTGAGTCATTAATGTGTTTAACAAAGTCAGATATTGAGTCATTAATGTGTTTAACAAAGTCAGATATTGAGTCATTAATGTGTTTAACAAAGTCAGATATTGAGTCATTAATGTGTTTAACAAAGTCAGATATTGAGTCATTAATGTGTTTAACAAAGTCAGATATTGAGTCATTAATGTGTTTAACAAAGTCAGATATTGAGTCATTAATGTGTTTAACAAAGTCAGATATTGAGTCATTAATGTGTTTAACAAAGTCAGATATTGAGTCATTAATGTGTTTAACAAAGTCAGATATTGAGTCATTAATGTGTTTAACAAAGTCAGATATTGAGTCATTAATGTGTTTAACAAAGTCAGATATTGAGTCATTAATGTGTTTAACAAAGTCAGATATTGAGTCATTAATGTGTTTAACAAAGTCAGATATTGAGTCATTAATGTGTTTAACAAAGTCAGATATTGAGTCATTAATGTGTTTAACAAAGTCAGATATTGAGTCATTAATGTGTTTAACAAAGTCAGATATTGAGTCATTAATGTGTTTAACAAAGTCAGATATTGAGTCATTAATGTGTTTAACAAAGTCAGATATTGAGTCATTAATGTGTTTAACAAAGTCAGATATTGAGTCATTAATGTGTTTAACAAAGTCAGATATTGAGTCATTAATGTGTTTAACAAAGTCAGATATTGAGTCATTAATGTGTTTAACAAAGTCAGATATTGAGTCATTAATGTGTTTAACAAAGTCAGATATTGAGTCATTAATGTGTTTAACAAAGTCAGATATTGAGTCATTAATGTGTTTAACAAAGTCAGATATTGAGTCATTAATGTGTTTAACAAAGTCAGATATTGAGTCATTAATGTGTTTAACAAAGTCAGATATTGAGTCATTAATGTGTTTAACAAAGTCAGATATTGAGTCATTAATGTGTTTAACAAAGTCAGATATTGAGTCATTAATGTGTTTAACAAAGTCAGATATTGAGTCATTAATGTGTTTAACAAAGTCAGATATTGAGTCATTAATGTGTTTAACAAAGTCAGATATTGAGTCATTAATGTGTTTAACAAAGTCAGATATTGAGTCATTAATGTGTTTAACAAAGTCAGATATTGAGTCATTAATGTGTTTAACAAAGTCAGATATTGAGTCATTAATGTGTTTAACAAAGTCAGATATTGAGTCATTAATGTGTTTAACAAAGTCAGATATTGAGTCATTAATGTGTTTAACAAAGTCAGATATTGAGTCATTAATGTGTTTAACAAAGTCAGATATTGAGTCATTAATGTGTTTAACAAAGTCAGATATTGAGTCATTAATGTGTTTAACAAAGTCAGATATTGAGTCATTAATGTGTTTAACAAAGTCAGATATTGAGTCATTAATGTGTTTAACAAAGTCAGATATTGAGTCATTAATGTGTTTAACAAAGTCAGATATTGAGTCATTAATGTGTTTAACAAAGTCAGATATTGAGTCATTAATGTGTTTAACAAAGTCAGATATTGAGTCATTAATGTGTTTAACAAAGTCAGATATTGAGTCATTAATGTGTTTAACAAAGTCAGATATTGAGTCATTAATGTGTTTAACAAAGTCAGATATTGAGTCATTAATGTGTTTAACAAAGTCAGATATTGAGTCATTAATGTGTTTAACAAAGTCAGATATTGAGTCATTAATGTGTTTAACAAAGTCAGATATTGAGTCATTAATGTGTTTAACAAAGTCAGATATTGAGTCATTAATGTGTTTAACAAAGTCAGATATTGAGTCATTAATGTGTTTAACAAAGTCAGATATTGAGTCATTAATGTGTTTAACAAAGTCAGATATTGAGTCATTAATGTGTTTAACAAAGTCAGATATTGAGTCATTAATGTGTTTAACAAAGTCAGATATTGAGTCATTAATGTGTTTAACAAAGTCAGATATTGAGTCATTAATGTGTTTAACAAAGTCAGATATTGAGTCATTAATGTGTTTAACAAAGTCAGATATTGAGTCATTAATGTGTTTAACAAAGTCAGATATTGAGTCATTAATGTGTTTAACAAAGTCAGATATTGAGTCATTAATGTGTTTAACAAAGTCAGATATTGAGTCATTAATGTGTTTAACAAAGTCAGATATTTGAGTCATTAATGTGATTAACAAAGTCAGATATTGAGTCATTAATGTAAGGTAGAGTTTAATAGTTTGATAATTCTTAAAAAAACATTTTTAACAATAAATAAAATACTTTTTTATATCTTCAAGTGGACAGTATCAGAACTAAAGCTAATTGATATCTTTCAAATACATTTCATTATTTTTTCATTGTAATTTTTTAACTTTTTAATGCTACTAATTTTAAAAAACAAAAATTTAGGTTTGTGCTAGTATATATTTAGAATATTTTCTCTGTCAAAACTACAATAATTTCACCTCTCACAATATAAATTAACATTTACAATAAGAATAAAAAGAATAAAAATACAAAAACTAATGTCAATGTTACCCTATATAGAGAGAGTAACGTAGCAGTTGCATGCCAACAACAAAATCAATTATCTATCAATAATAATACATGACTATTTAAATTTTTTATCGGTTTATTACAACAGTATAATTGGTAAACACTTAAAAATATTTCATATCAAAATAATTTTGTCAACATATGTAGCATTAATACATCTTCAGAAAACATATTTTTTCATCTTCAAAAAAATATGTTTTCTGAAGATGTATCAATGTTACAACACTTTACCTTATATTTAGTTTTGATATCTATAATAACTTCTCAGTTTATATTCATTTTACCACTTTTTTCTTTATTCATTTTATTCTTTATTCTTTTGATTCTTATATTATATGGACTTTCATATACATTTAATTCTTATATCATTATATACATCATATATGATTTTTATATTGTATTTCATACTTAATTAAATTTTAAATAAAATACTTAAAAAAAAATGTTGTATAGTAATAATTAAACACTTGATAACTTGAAACCTTTTTTTTATCAATTGAAAGTCATACCTTTTTTGTATCAATTAGAGTTCCTTTTTTTCCTTTACCTTCACCCCATGCTGTGGGATGATTGTAAATAGGATCATTGATAATAGGATAACCAAGGTATTGAAGGTGAACACGAATTTGATGCATGCGCCCAGTTTTTGGCACACCTAATCAATAATTAAAAATATAACTATCTTTGCATCGCAATCATCATTATGATCATGGTAATAACAATAATTATCATAATTATGATGATGCTTATAATTATTATCAATAACTATCATAATTATGATAATACTCATAATTATCATAATTATGATGACGCTCATAATTATCATCAATAATTATATTATTATCAAAATCATGATTATAAGGATCATCATTTTTAAAATTTTACATATATAAAGGTTTCTAACAACAAATCTCTCTCAACCAAGAATTTAGAAATGATTTACCGAATATATTATTAGTAACAGTGTGTCATAGTGAGCCACCGACAGTGTGTCATAGTGAGCCACCGACAGTGTGTCACTTTAAACTGGGATTTAAACACTGTGATTTGAACCTGTGATTTGGGGTTCCAACTTGTTTAAATATAATTATTTTTATGATTAATATAACTATTTTTCTCTCATTATAAATCATCTGTTTTAAAAAAGTTTTAATTACAATTCTTAAATTTTTTACAAATTGTGAAATTATGTGAATAAAGGTAAACTAACTAAAAGTATACTTACTTACTTAAGTTGACTTTTTAGTCAACTTAAGAAATAGAAATAATAATAGTAATAATAATAATAATATTTGCTGTACAACAAATAACAAATAACAGGGTTATTGTTTTAGATAGTATCTTTGGGAAGAAAAGTAGCTGAGTACAGTCAATATCTGCCCAAGAAGCGTATTGCATTGAGACACTTTCTTTACTTTTCACTAAGTATATATAATGCATGTTAAATACATGTATTATATATACTGGTTATAATACATGTTTCTTTTCTTAAGGAAATATTTATTTAAAACGAAGAAATAAAAGAAGCAGAATTTTATTCAGTTTATATACCCGAGACTTTAAGTTTTATTCATTTATATACTAGAAACATTATTTAGAAAAAAAGGTTCTAATCACAAATACTTTTTAATAATGTTTTTTTTTCAATAAAGGTACTAACAATGCGTAATTATACATTGAATGTGAAAGACATAGTTTAGCAACTTTAGCAAGCTTTAGCAAGATAGTTTAGCAACTAAATTGTCTAATTTTGTTGGAAATGGTAAAGAATTTGTTTTGTCGGAGGCACCCAAAGATCAGTAATTCAAATGGGAATTCTTCTAAAGGTTAGCTTTTAATTTTATAACTTTGAAAATATTTTTAAAAGTGATCATATTAAGAATATATATTCACTTTATATAAATTATTTGTAAAAAATAACTAAACCTATATCTACCTTTTAGGAAAGAAAAGAAATAGATTTTAAAAGTAGAAAACATAATTTTGTTATAAAAGAACTAAGCAGAGAACTTCCTAAATTGGTTCAAAGCACATATTCAGTTTAAACCACCAGTTACAATTTCAGAAAAATGACTCACGGAAAATAGAGAGACTATGAATTAAAATATCCAAGTTTTTTGAAAAACACAAAACCATCCAAAGAAGCAACCAATAAAATAATTAATAACCTCAATAGTTCTTTAATATCATAGCATGTGCTCATACAATCAATACATGCAAAGAGGCAGCATCATTTTGCAATGATCCCAAAAACTGTAAGATAGGTGCACATGTTTATTGCTCATGTCCTTTACTACAAAAAGTTTCTAAACTTGATCTTCTTTGGCTTTGTCATCAGAGGCTTAAAAAGAAAGAGATTTCTACTATGCAAATTGGTTTATGTGATTATAAAGAATCGATTCGCCTACAGAGTAGAGAAAAAAGAAAAAACAATCAGGAAGAAGCTGAAAGTAAAAGGAAAAAAAAAAAGAAAATTAATGAAAAAATGAGTTTGTATAAATTTTAGGTTAGTTAAATTACAATGAATGAATGGAATTCTTTAATTGTTTTAAAACATTTCTTACCGCAATCTAAAATAGACTTTAAAACTAACTTTTTAATGTTTAATTTATATATTAAACTTTTTTGAATTTAAAATTTATATATTCTATTATAAATATTATTACTTACCAATATTGGTAAGTAATAATATTTATTACTTAGAAAAACAAGATTCTTAGAAGAAAAAAAAGCAAAAGAAAATGATAACACATGTTGCATCAGCTGCAATAAGATATAATACTTCTAATGTTGGTGTGGCAGCTATAGTCACTGTTATAATAAAAGATTTTATAGCTGCAGGTTATCTTTTTCTTGATATATCATACCTTTCTGTTGACCCAAACAAAATGCAAATGGATAGGAATAATGTAATAAATGAAAATACAATTATTGAAGCTAATAAATGTAATAACCAAAATTTAATTTGAATTGCGTATGATAGAAGAAATGACTGGACTAAAACGTTAATTCCAGATAAATATGGGAACTTCACCCTAGAGTCATAGAAGAGGAGCATATAAGTTTAACTTGGGAGCCAATTGGACGTTATCTTGCTCACATCACGCCAGAACTTGCCATTCATCCGGAAAAATCTGCAAAAAAGATTGATGAAGCACTCTATGAGGTATTTCAAAAAAAGCAATGCTACTGAATCATGCATAGTAATAGGAGGAGATTTAACAAATACCAAGACAAAATGGTCAGGAGGAATTCATGCCTACCTTGATAAAATGTTAGGACATGAATGATATTTGGTGATTTGAATAAAACATACAAATAAACTCAAACTAAGACATTTAATTATATCACTTGATGGTCTGACAAATATCAAGAATGGATTTACAGGTTCAGTTTGCAAAAAGCTAAAGTCAATAAATTGTAATTTTAAATCTCTAGAGGAACTTTCTGAAACTTGATGAGAATAAAAAGCATATCTACTAATGATTAGATCATTTATTATTATATAAATACTATCAAGTCAGAAAAACTTTCTTTGGATCTCACAAATCTCATGTGGATCACTGTCTCATTCTCGCTGGCTGACAACAGGTATAGCTTTGATGTTTTTGTTGACAAGAAATCATAACCTTAAATACAGTGAGTTGGAGATTTTAAAGATATTAGTTGAGTTTTGTGTCAAAATGTATTTTAAACTTTATTTTGAAATTTTTACCAAACATCTGCTGGAGGATGGTTCAAGACACATTTTCCTTGAACTTAAAATTTTTACGATACTCTTGGTCAATGTGGTGAATATTATAACACCATATATATACAAACTGAGGCTTGGTATAAACATATATACGAACTGAGGCTTGGTATAAACATATATACGAACTGAGGCTTGGTAATAATGAGTGTATACTGGTTTAACTCTTGAATAGCTCTAACGAAAGAAAGTTTAGTGTTGATAGGATTTTACGAATTCTTGGAGACACTGCTATTCGAAATCTTTAAAGATTAACCTTGATACTAATCTTCAAGAATTGATTTCTAGGAATTTAAAAGAACATCATGAACCAATACTTAAATGTAATCTTTCTAAAGCGGAGATCTCAAAGTTCTTTGAAAATCCATTGAAAATTCCTAAATTCAGCATTTACACTCAAGCAACAGAATGCAGTGTCAAAAGCATGACGGAAGCCTCTGCCATTGTTTATGGCTGAGAAAGAAGAGATGAATTTGTTAGAATAAGAATGATACATAGGGAAAAAATTCCCACCTTTAAATCAAAGAAAGATGTTCTTGAAATAATTGACTAAGAAAGAAAAGAAAATTGTATATCTTGTATTTTATTCATTTTTTATTCAAAACTTAAACCTAATACTATTATCTGTTTCAACTATTATAGGCTTAAAATTAAAATTATTTAAAGTATGAATAAATATTAAATAAACATTTCTTCTCATTGGACGCACACATTTGATGTGCACTTGATATGGCATATCCCAGGAGCAATTGGTAGTAGTAGTACTCTCACATTGTAAGCAAGAGGTATAGAGTTCAAATTCACCATCTCCATAAAAATTCCTGCTTAACTTAACTTTCAGTGTAGTGGAACTGTTCATCAAAGCTTGTGTTTTTAAATTAAGTTGAAAATAGTTTAGTGTATATCATTTTTTGTAAATATATGCACAAAATACAACTACATAAAAAAAAAAAAAAAAAGCGAAAAATGATATAAAAATACCAACATCTGACTACACTACTTTCTCCATTATAGCTTAGCTTTTTAAAAATAGTAGAACTTGATTTCCCATCATTGCTAACAGTACAGAAACCTATTTTGTGAGAAACCGTTTTAATAGGTTCGTCAACAACTATTTCCTCA